CTGGGGAGCAGTGCACGCTCTGTGCTCCCTCTTCATGCTCCACTGGAGAGCCAAGACAAACACCGCATTCTAAACGAGCATCCATGTATTTTTTCCAACTTAACTGACTGATAAACCTATACAGATGTCCTAAGAATGGTAAAGTCCAATTAGGTTACAGTTTGAGACATTATAACTGAAACAGTTCCAAACTCCCTGCATGTTGTGGTGCGTACATTCCCCGCTGACTAGCTGCGCAGATGCAGACAGACAGGTTGTTATTGACTTTCAGAAAGTAACCTTTGAGGCCTGCAGAGACTGAATATGAATTATGCAAGGGAGCTACATTAGTTAAAGAGCAGGGGGACTGATATTTATGATGGACGGATATTGATGGATGGTAGAGATGGGGGAGTAGGAGAGGATGAGAAGAGGCAGGGGGACTCAAGGATATTTGATTGTTGTTTAGATAAACATGGTGTCTCCACATTGAGTGATACATTCAATAGGATGAACAGACTCAACTCTACAAAAGTCAAAGCTCGCAGCATCATCTGGGAGAGGACATTCTGCTCTACTTCACATGGGACTTGCTGGGCCTCTCCACCACGGCAAAACTTGGTTAAACGGCACCATTCCATAAATAAATTGTTGTACCTTTCAGAAAGGTGGTGTATTCAGCATGAAACTGTAATTTGAACCTCATGATCATTTTTCTAGCTTGTTATAAAAGGCTATATAAAAGGCTATATAAACTCCAAAATAAGCAAGGTTAGAAAAAAAAACTAGTCCGGAAGTTAAATTCATCAAATAACTGATTCAACTTCAAGATTCATTATGTTTAAGATGGAAAAAGAGAGAATCATTTTGACATCTGAGAGTTATGGCTAAGGCTTAACAACTGTAACCCTCAAAAACACTTGGTTACATCCACTGTTTTGACAGTATGTACTGTTCCCCAGCTTACTTCAACAAGTCACTTTAATTCTTTCACTTTAATGTTCACTTTAAAGGGCTGTACATTTTGGAACTTTAATGTTTACATATTATATTAAACTCTGAAAATTTGGTTTTCCATGATATGGCGCTTTTAACTTTAAATATTATTTTGGGTTATGATGGCTAAATCCATCCAATACGTCTTTTGCAGCTAGAAAGCATATATTTCATAACAGACCTTGTTTTGAAATCATCTTGTACCTGTAAAGAAATGACATCAGAGTGGAACTTTACCATGGTGTCATAATTCATGAGACTGTATCAGTTGTAGGATCCAACACTGTTGTGTCTGGAACATAACCTACATGTCGCTCTTTGACCATATGTTTTTACACTCTGAATCCATTTTTTGTCAAATATAACTCTCAGCACAAAGTTCTGGGAAAAGTAGCATTTGTTATCAATTGACTGCCACAGTATGTTATCACTTTTATAGTAGTGACAAACAGGCTGCTTGAAACTGGAGATAAGGCTTGATCGCTTCATTGTCACTAGAAGAAATAGCTCACTGTACAAGAGGCCTCATTCATCAAAATGTCAGAGTGCATGTAAATAGGCTGATATTTCACACCCATGTGGTCACAGTTTGATGCCAGCATTTAAATACACAGCAAACAGATAGACACATCAACCTGCGTGTCCGTATCACCTTACGTATTATGTTTCTGGACAGTGTGGAGAAGTAGCGAGTGTAATTTTCAATTACAAGCTACATTTTTTAGCAAAACCTCTTTCTGAATATTCTGGAGGTGATTATCCTGTTCTGCTACAATACAATGATCCAGTATAGATGATGAGACTTGATACATTATCCTTTGTGCCTTGTATATCGAGTACACAGGCCTTTGAATGTGCGTGTGTATGAGGAACACTCACTGGGCTAATGAAATCAGAGCCGCCGCTACACTCGTGGTCCGCGAGGTCAGAGGAGCAGGAAGTATGACATCATCACTTAGCTTTTTTTTCCACATGAGGGACGACGGTGACCCTGCTGGTATTATGGCTCTAATAGAACATTAGGAGATGATAAAATTGCAAATGAACAAGCACTGGAATAAATTTGTCATGTTTTTACAGGCCCGCCTTCCTTGTAAATGTGCAGGCGCTGTTGCCTTAACATTCCAGATGTGACCTGAGCATTATTTCATTTTTTCAGCAGCCCCCTTCCTAATGAACATATATCACATTACCAGCCATCACAGTTTACGCACAGGAACAGAAACGATGTCCGGAGCGCATTAATGCGTAAGTTGGCCTCGCAGTGCTGGGGCTGTGTCGTGGCCGTCTCATATCATGCATCACTCGAATGCTGCGGCCTGGGGCTGTCTCCCTCTACAATCATTCACATTCAAATGCGTTTGTGTATAGAATGCACAAGTATGTATGAATGAGCCTGTGTACTTTATGTACTGATGTAAAACAAAGCTTGATGTGCTTTATGTACTGATGAAAAAAAACTCTTCTTACCTAAAAGGACTTTCAATTTGAGTGATAAGCTGCTGCTTAGAGCTCAGAGCTGTTCCATGCCCCAGCGTGGCTGCACAGTCAGGTGCAGAGCAGGAAGGAGGGCTGAGCTGGGCTAATGATGGCTCTGACTGATAGACAGCCATGCAGACACGCAGATCTAGGATCAGGTTTCTTTCCTGTTTACCGCTCCTGGCTCCCCGCTCGGCCCTTACTGGAAGCCCTTCTGCTCGCCCAGGAAATGGGCTCTGAATCCAGACACAGGGCCACCACGCACGGCCCGGCACTAATAGCATTTATTTGTTTATCTGGACAAACTTTTGGCCTCTTCCTTATTGGATTTGTCCTCTCAACAGATCCTCCCCCCCTTGCCATATTGTAATGATGGAAGACAAATAAGTGGAGAGATGCAACCCTGTAATGGGTGAAAGGGAGCAAGTAAACAAGAAAGAGGTTAAGAGAGGTGCATAAAGAAGTACGCTTCAAAAAATAAATGTGCCAAAAAAAGTTGTTTGGGGCATTGCCATAAAAGAACCACTTCTGAGTTGAGTACTTTAGAATGAGTTTTTTTTAAAGAATCATGCATGGATATGGTCTTTAGGGAACCAAATTTGGTTCTTCTATGGCAGTGCTTGCAAGAACCTTTTTGGCACTTTTATTTTTAAGCGTGATGGAGTGTACAAGGCTCTACAAGGATGGATAAGTCACAGTGCTGGTACAGCAGGGGATCCAGCCATGGGCTAATGCCTCCTATCCCTTATGTTCTTCTTTTCTTGGGAAGCACTGGCACAGAGAGCACTAAAAATATAGAGAGAAACGAGAGACGGAGGTGCACATCCATACTAAAGCAGCACTTTAGGCCTCCCCAGGCCCCCCGCGCCTCTCTCAATCACTGGGGCCGGGCTAGGCGGGCGCCTCCCCCTGCAAAGCGCCCCTAACGAGGGGTTAACGCAGTGGCAGCGCTCCCATTATTGAGTGAATTTAGCACCTTGGACAGCGCACTAAAAATCTTTATTGCTTCACTGACCCCCTCGTCATGATCATGGCTGTGTGTTGCATTGGGGCTGGGCTGGAGGGGGGAGCGGGGGTGTATGGTGGCGGTGTGGAGGGGCTCTGATTGAAAGGCAATATGTCGGCTGGCGGGCGGGCACACATGCTCGGGGGCTTGTTCACAGCGAGGGTTACACACAGAGGGTGAGAGCAATTTTCTGGTTGTCGCGCCGCGAGCACATTTCCTCGGCCCCGGCACATTAACTTTTAAAGAGGGTTCCTCGGGAGCTCCAGGCGTCTACTTCGCCTACGAAAGGGGGGGAAATGAAGAGAATAGAAGAGGAGAGAGATTGAAGACAGAGGGCGAGGTGGGGGGAAAAAGAAAATGAATACAGAGAGTAAAGAACACAGTAAATAAATGTTTAATGTGTGGGAAGGTATGGTAATAAATAGGTTTCTGGTTGGGGAAGTGAGAGTCGATTACCTGCAAAGAGAAGGGTGTTATATACACACATCCATCCCCTCCTGGCCAATAGAGCATTAATTTACCTGTACAAGCCTGCTTCATCTGTTTTACTGTATGTTTGTATACATGTATTATACATGTAATGGGCTGTATTAGTATTGGATAAAGAATGGCAGCTACAGAAGTGTGTTATGAGGTGTATGTGAGTGTGTGCTGAATGTATGGCTTATGCTGATGAGACACATTCAGCTGGGAAGCTAGCACATGTTATTACCATATAGACCTGTATGCTCCTCCTGTACAGCCACACTGCTTTATCACTAACCTAGTCACTGTGTACACTTAAAGGCCCGAAAACCTACATTTGTCTTTTATTTTATTTTTCCCTTAAAGTTCACTTAGAAACTTTGTGTGGTTTTGTGTATCAAAAACAGTGCTAATTTATTTTTACATAGCTATTTTCCGACCTTTGTTATCCTTTGGTATTAAACAAGCTGTTTTTGTGACGGGGTCTTTAAAATATTTGTAAAAGACATCAGTTTGCTTTATTTACAAAGCAGTCAAGGCTGAAAGGCTCTTTACAACTTCAACATGAATGAACAGGGCTAAACAGCTGTAGACTGAATAGGTGGACATGTATATGTGTTGGTTTTTGTCATGTCACAGAAAAAGTTAATTCAAATTTAGTGGCATAATTTCCATATATGGACTGTATCGACTGGAGAATGAATGGTACATTTTAAAACTTTAAACAATGTTTACATACTGCACCAAACTCTTTTATTCCAAGAAACAAAGGAAAATTCAGTTTTCCACATGGGTCCTTTAAAGAGGATGCCTTGTTTCTTTATCTTTGTCATTCTCTCTCCATTTCTCTTTAACTGACAGTTCTTGCTTTAGTTTTTTGCTTTTTGCTAAAAAAACCCAAGGACATACGTTGATAAAAGTTTTTCACTGAATTTGTTTAATTCAAATATTCATTCATTTATTCATTTCCACATGGATAAAATGTATCAATACAATTATTAAAGAAATTCAATGTTGGGCTATTTTTGTGTATAAAAACCCATAAAAACACTATTTATTTTTTTCTCGTCAATAGGAAGTGATTCTGAAGAGGGCAGCAGATCTTGTAGAAGCCCTGTATGGGATGCCTCACAATAATCAGGTGAGATTCAAAAATACAGGTGCCCTCCTAAAGACTCCAAACCTCATTTACAATGCTTACTCTGCAAAAAACAGATAAAATAAAAACTCTGCTGTTTAGACACTGTACTTTTAAACTTCTGCCAACTTCTGATGAAGGATAAAAGTGATCAAGATTATGTTCTCATGTAACATCCCTCCATTAGTCAGAAGATAAGAGTCATCTCGCATTTTTAATATAAAAAAATTAAGGAAACTCTTTCACACACTTCCACCCCAGTTTTGAAAGTTCTCTATCGATGGGTGAAACAGCTAGAGGGGCATCCTCTCTGCAGAATAGTAGGCCGCTCCTGAAAGTGAGGTCATCGATTGCGGTGTTGAGTGGGAGTACAAGGATGCTGAATTATTTAGGCAGGCAGTGAATGGGGGTCTGCCTCTGGTCATCTCTACCTACCAGGAACCTCTTTTCTACTCGCATCACTCTTCCAACAAATCTACACAGGCATTGTCATTACTGTAAGGGTAAATTGTGAGAGATGTGCAAACCTCCTACTGAGTGCTTTCAGTGCAGTAATCATCTGACATAAACACAGCATTTCAGCATGTGAAGGATATATATGATGAATTTATTAATCATAGATTTCTCTCACTCTCTCATCATGTAAAATCACACTGCTGTCTCATTTTAACCTTGAGTGTTTCAAGAGCTGCTCATACACGCCTTAGGTTGTTAGCAAAGTGGTGCCTTTGATATTTTGTTTGTGACATCTTTCAAAACTTAATGCAGTAGCTGAGGTGAAATGGGGTCATGAGCTGTGAGAGATAGTATGAAGTTAAGGATTAAACCAGCTTTTAGATACTTTAACTACTCTTTCCAGTAGTTCTTTCCACTAGATTGTCTTTCTCACGCTATAGTTCTTTCCATCTGACATCCTTTCATTATCACTTGTATTGCTTATTGTGTATACCCTTTTCTTTTTTTTAACCCCTCATTATTCAGTTATTAGCCAGTTATTAGTCTTGAGGCTTATTGTCCAGTATGAATTACTCATGGAGAAGTATCTACTTTAAAACTAATGTGTAAGGTGTGTAATTATGGGATTGAATGATCAATGAATGTCCCTGACCTGATGTTTTGTTGCCATTACAGGAGATAATTTTGAAGCGAGCAGCAGACATCGCTGAGGCTCTCTACAACGTTCCACGCACACACAACCAGCTGCCAGGCCTGGCCAACAGCTCTGTACATGCAGGCATGATGGGTGTCAACTCTTTCCACGGTCAGCTCGCTGTCAACGTCTCTGAGTCCACGCAAGGGGCCAATCAGGGTGAGCAGAACAAGCCTAGCTATAGGAGCCTTTGGGTGTTCCCTGGTAGAAGAAAACCTGAAATAGGTGTTCTGTTCACAATAGTGCCCTAATTACTCTTGCATACTTTGGAAAATCAGGAGTGCTATATATTTACCATTTAAAGCCTTGGCCATTTCTGCCATTTAATCTGCTCTGCTGCAAAGCAGAACATATATCGATTTTGATCTACCTTTTTGACCTAGTAAACTTATAAATATGAACATAAGTCACACATGAGTTGCGTTTAATTTTTACTCTGGTGAAGTAAATAAATAATAATTTCTTAAAGAGCTCTGAAAGAGTTTGTGCACTCACTCACAAAAAAAATCACAGTACATCTAGCAGTAAAGACACCACGTGCAACATTTACATAGTGATAGAAAACATTAACACACAGAAAGCACTGATTTGACTCATTAATGCGTTTCAGTCTGCACCCCATGAGTTTTAGGGGCTGTCAGCAAATTCACAGACTGGATTACCTGCAAGACGCTCAGTTTAATAAGGTTAATATGAGCAGAATTTGTGTTTAGAGTAAACCATTCAGATAAGCAATTCAAGCAGGATTGGACTGGACTGGACTGGCTGGACTGTGCCTTTTAGGTTTCTCTGTGCACTACCTGTTGCAGTGAATTAAGGGGACTGGATATTCTCCAGTATATTTTCAGACACCACTACAAAACAGCACACTTCCAAACTAGTGCACTATGAAGTCAATAGGGGATGGATTTCATAAGCAGAAATGAACATGTCAACATGACTGATCAGAACATCAGTAAACATTATATGTGGCTGTGAGCTTTAATCACTATTAATACTGCACTATTGTTTGCGTCTCCCATTCTGTAGTGGTGTCTACAAAACATAGCGGAGAACTTCCAGTGCACTCTTAGAATCTCACAATGTATTGTAATAGGTAGTGTACAAACAGTGTACCCTAGAAAGCATGGAATACCCATAATGCACTGCGTGTACAGAATTTAAAATGCTCTGTTCCCTCTAATAATCTGTGCATAATGTCCCTGATTTCCCAATATAAGGAATAGGGATTAGATGATTTTAAACACAGCCTACTGGGGTGGGAGTGATTCAGAGAGAGTCAGTGAGACAGAGCGAGAGAGCTTTAACCAAAAGGAAAGACAGACAAACAGCACTTGGAGGCCTTTATGGTGCTATCAGACACTGCCGGCTCCCTTTGCTCCAGCGCTCCCTGGCCGTCATGACAGTGAGTGATTTGTGTTAAGTCAGCGGTAATCTATCAGGCGTCAGATGAAAGTGGGGAGGGCGAACTGTAAGCGGAGGCACGATGAGCGCTGCCTTTGTAGCAGACAGCAGGGACTCCTGGAGCGAGAACTTCCTGCTGCTTTCACCCATGTCAGCGTTTAATGCACTGATGTATATTTATAGTCCATATCCCCCATTTCTTCCCCACCTCCTCACACACTCCATATGCTACTAATAGACAGACCAGGGTTTTTGCAGTCTCACCCTTTTTATTGACAGAATAAAGGAAAATATAGAGTAGGAGGAAATCATACACCAGTTCCTTGCTAACACAGACCTGAAGGCAAAGGTAATTGGAAGGAAGCTATGGGCTGAACTGGGAGAATTCAGGTTTTGTCTGCATGAAGCTCTGAGCTGACAGAGTGAACCATAGCAGAAGGGGACCTGGGCTATATTTAACACCAGACTTTCAGTTCAGTATACATAACAGTGTCTCCTAATGTTGCTCACAGTCACTCTTGGATTTTTAGTGTTCAGCCTGATTGTGTCATTTAAAATGCCAAAATTATATAATTTTATATTTCAACTGTTTAAATTGGCCCCTTAAGTTTGCCCTTAAACCCTAAGGTATATATTTACTAAGGTTCTGTGCTGTTGCAAACCTTGTTTTGTTGTTAAGAAGTGGCTATTTTACTAAATAGGCACAACGGCCATTCACTACCCATAATAAGGTTGGTTGCAGCTCTTTTGCACTTTTGACACATTGCATATCCAGAATTAACATGTTTACTGTTGTTTGTGACAATAGTAATTGTTTGTGATTGTTTTTATCTATTTATAATGTTAATCTATGTTGATAGAAAAAAAACATTTTTGAATGCCTGCTATGTCACATTATTAATGTATTTATTCATATTCTTTATGTGGGCCCACACTTTAATTCCTCACTCTGGCACCTACATAACTTACATACATTCATTAATCTTCTAAACCACATATCCTCCTGGGTTGTGGGGGGTGCAGGAGCCTATCCCAGCGCTTATTGGGTGGAAGGCAGGAAACACTCTGGACAGGTCACTAATCCATCAAAGGGCAGACACAGACATACACATTCACACCGATGGGCAATTTTAGTATCTCCAATTGGCCTGACTGCGTGTCTTTGAACTGTGGGAAGAAACCCTTGCAGACACAGGGAGAACATGCAAACTCCACACAGAAAAGACCCTGGTCATCTGGCCAGGAAATCAAGCCCAGACCCTTTTTACTGTGAGGTGACAGCACCACACACTGTGCCTGGCATTCAGGGGGTTAAACTGTAGGCTTATTACACCATTGTTGATTTTAAAACTTATTAATTATTATGCTTACTAATCAATTATTATTTTAACTACAGTGAAACTAATATGTATGTTGTCTAGTTATGAGAGTGAGAAACTGATTCATTGCATTTTACAGGGTGTCTTTATTGTGACAGTCATCACTGTCACTCCCTCCAGTCTCTCTTTTCCCGATGGCCCTCCTCATATTTACGTCTGCATTTATGTGTGTGTGTCAGGTTTCAGTCGGAACACGAGCAGTGTGTCTCCTCATGGTTACGTGCCCAGCTCTACACCCCAGCAGAGCAGCTACAGCACAGTCAGCACGAGTATGAATGGCTATGGCAACAGCGGCATGACCACGCTGGGAGGGTCACCCAACTTCCTCAACGGTTCGGCTGCCAACTCCCCCTACGCCAGTGAGTATTGACCATCAGTCTCTCTCTTTCTCTATCTCTATCTCTCTCACACACTTACCCTCTCTCTAATCTTGTTTCTACACCTACAGTTAAAGACTGTAACCCATCTGTTGACACACAATTTGTTAGTCATCCTCAAGCCATTCATCAGTGGTCACTTTCTGACCACAGAGCTCGACCCAGCAGTGACCCAGCAGCCCACCAACACCCCTGTGCCTGATATACCAGCTTGACAAATGCTACCACCCTACTGCCATTTCAGAGTCATTGCTGTGCTGAGAGTGGTTCACCACCCAGATAATATCTGGTTAACAGCAGTTCTGTGGGCAGAAACTGACCAGTGATGAATCAGGTGAAGGGTGTCTGACAAATTGTGCTTGATAACAGATTTCAAGACTACGCTCATTAATTCTACACTTGTGTAGTCCACCTGTAAGATAGATGGACCACAAAAAAGCATCAGTGAGTGGAAGTACAAAGGAGTTGTTTCTAATAAAGTGGCCACTGAGTGTGCTGTCAGAATCATTAGCATCACCAACCCTCCAAGCAGAAGAATTGATCAGAATGTCATCATCATTACAGTGTGCTGTAAAGTATGAGGCCATTGCTAATGTGCTGTAGAGGTGCTTTGTTATCATGCAGTTGCAGTTTATCTAACAAACAGGACTCAGCACTGTCCCTAGACATTAACAAGCAAGCCATTCACATCTCAAGGTGTAACGACAGATAATGCTCTAATGGTGAAATACTCAGACCTGTTAGAGACAGCTGTGATAAAAACAATAGACACAGCCATTACTCTGCGCCTGTGTCTTTAAGAACAGAGATAAATGTGCACCCTTTCTTTTCTGGTGTCAGGAACGCGCTGACCATAATGCCTAGCCATTCGTATAACACCAATCTTCTAGTGCGGCTTCTAAATTAAAGAGTCTTAATTAAATCAATAAACTAATTGCAGGAGAAGCAATTCAATTTCAGTACTTTGATTCGGAGATGTTAACAAGTATTTTAACAGGCTCGGCGACTCCACTCAGACACTTTCAATCAATGCGAGAGGGCAGGCTTTGTAGGCTCCAATTTTCATTAATTGATTAGTTAGGCCTTCATAAATGGATTATGACATTATCAAGAGAATTTTCTTGGGAAAGAGCCATAAAATTTAAGCGCAGGATAATAACAACAATAAAGGCAGAACATGATATCAGAGGCCAGCTGAAATACGACGGCAGTGATTGTAAAATCGTTGAAGGAGAAAATGCTCTTAGTGTATTACTAGACAAAGGGGGAGCCAATAGGGACGGGCTGAAGGAGGGCCTCACATTATATTGCGTCTCTGTTAGTCTAGGAAGAGAATGATCTTAAAAGTTAGAGCTTTTATCACTACAGGACTACAAATAATTACATTACTGTACCATTCAAAGGCTTGTAATCATTTGTCCTATTAATAACTGTTGATCATTTTGTTACATACACAGTGTAGATCTAGAATCTAGAAAACAGGTGTTTTTAAAAAATGTATTCAATATCTCAATATTCTTTTTTTTTTTTTGAGTTAAATGATAGTGATAAATGATAAATAAATAAAAGGTGTAGTGATGTCTTGTCAAGTTACCTGTTTCAAAATTTGATTTTAAAATCATCCTGGATATTAACTTTATTATAACTTCATTCTTAAATTTACACATTCTCAATTATTATGAAATCATTTACAGCTTTGTTTGTCATTTTCCACACATCTAAAATCTATTAATGTCTTGCAATACTACTATGTGAATTTTTAAAGTATGAGCATCATATTAATCATTTTAGACATGTACTTGCAACAAAATTGTTTTTATTTTATTGACAACTGTGATTCCAAACTTTGAAAAGGTAGTTTATACTTGTCAGGTGTATGCAACAATAAGATGAGCTGATGTGGCGATCACTTATGATGCTTATCATCATGGGCATCCGTAGTGACTCCAGTCTCCATGTCCCATTCTCCTGTGTTGTCTGATTGCTGTAGGACTATGAGGCATGTTCTCACCCATCCACTCTCTCCTCACCTGTCTCCCTCTCTCCCTCCCTCCTTCCTGCCCCACTCCCTCCTCGCTCCTTTCCCTCAGTCGTCCCGTCCAGTCCCACCATGGCCTCCTCCACCAGCTTGCCCTCCAACTGCAGCAGCTCCTCAGGCATCTTCTCCTTCTCCCCGGCCAACATGGTTTCGGCTGTCAAACAGAAGAGCGCCTTCGCCCCAGTGGTCCGGCCCCAGGCCTCACCCCCTCCCACCTGCACCAGCGCCAATGGCAACGGCCTCCAAGGTGAGGGCCTCCGCCCCCCAGAGTCTGCGGTCTGCTGCAAAATAGAGATTCAAATTGCTGACGAAATTCAGTTTGATTCAGTTGTTTAAATACAATGCAGTATTATTAAAAAAACACAAATGTAGGATTTTATACAATGGTGGGATAAAGACCATAAAAACAATACACCAGCCTTTTAAGTTTTAAGTTTGAAAGTAGCCTGAGAAATTTATTTTGGCCAACAATTTGAGCACATTATTTAATTTTTTTGAATATTATGATTGATTATAATCAATTCTGATATTCCAAGATTTATACAGTTACATTGACAACTTCGGACCGATGCATCACAATGATTTTTTTTCTGCAAGTGCACATACAAACCTGAAGCACGGCTTCAAACTTAGCACTTATGAAACCTTAACATAATATTTTACTGCACAGACAGTACATAGTTAACTAGATCAGAGTTAACTAGGCTATTGTCTTAGTAACTCCACTTCTATTACCTCCTCCACTATCTAGCTTACTGTGTATTCTTCTAATACTTTGATAATGAATAAAGTCAGTCCTGACAGGCTAACACTAACCCTGCTCTTCTGTGTCCCTAATCCCTCGTCTCTTTATTTCAACAAGAATAACACTGTTCTTCTTTCTCTTTTTTTCCCCTCCATCCTCCCCATGACCCCGTTCCCTCTCCCCGCCTCCAGTAGATCAGTCTTTTGTGGACTCTAGCAAGTATTCCACAGCCAGCTCCCTGCAGGGACTGGCCTTCTCCTGAAGTATGTGACTCTCTCCCTCTCTCTCCATTAACCTGCCCATCACTTTGACCCTCCGCACGTCTCCCCGCTTCATCTCTGTCTACGCCACTCTCCTCGGCTGGGGGCTTCCTATCTGTCACCACGTGCATGCCATATGTGTTTCATTTCCTGCCTGACTTCCTATTTCCCATGTCTGCTCTTCTCCGTTTCGCTCATGTCGTTGTCAGTTATCCATGCATCATCAACACCTGTTTATTTTTGTGAAGCCAGCATACAGTAACCTAATGTAACATCCTGCTCTAAGTTACCGCACTACTGGATCATGCCAATAATATCAGTGCATGACAAGCAGATTCACAGGACTGCACTGTTCTACCTATTATAACTAAATGTTTTTATCACAATATCTGTATCATTATACTGAGCACCAGTAGCTAAATAATGACCCTCTTCAAGCTGTAGCTAAAGTTTTCCTGTTAGCGTATATAAAATAGAAAATAGATACATTAGAAAATGTTAATAATATTTGACTTGTGGCCTGTTTTGTCAGTGTCACGCATCCCTCCAAGCATCAAGTTCTGTCATGTTACAGTCAGATTCTGAAAAAGAGTGAAAAATAGACTGAAGGGCTGTGAAGTGCTGTACAGACTGGCTGGAACAAAATGACACTAAGGTTTGTCTAGCAAATATTGAAAAACCTGAACCTGATATTGTGACAGTTTTATGGTTCTATCCATAACAAAAAAGGCTTCTACTTTTTGTTGTTAGAAATTGAAAGTATTAAAATTGGCAGTATTAATTTTAAGGAACAGTTGGAGCTTCTTATTTTTTTTTTATTTGGTTGAACTGTTGTATAAAAGCAACAGAACACTCAAGGTCACGTGGTATAGTGAAGAACATCATGACAAATCAAAGCCATCATGTTGTTCCTGATAACACGATCTTTCAGTATTCTGTGTGCTGTGTTGTTATTGTTATTGAGCATGGTGCTTGTCACGTAATGTTGACATGTATATCAGAGCTATGCTCTTTCTGTATGGGCCATCAGTGAAAATTACTTTAATTATGGAATGTATGTTACAGTTCATTGCAGTAATCACAGAAATTACGTTATAGAACCTCCCCTGTTAAAACGAATGCAGCTCAAACAGTGCTTTTATCCAAAATAAGGGCAGGAAATATCAGTCCCCCCAATGTTAAAGGCTTTCTGTTTTTTAGCATCTGGCTTCTCCTTTTTTTACCCTTAATCTTCCACATATTGCAGTAGGATGGCATGTGTTGAGAGGCTGATGTAGAAGTAATTGAGCCTATTAGGCAGGCTACTCTTATCAGGGTGCAGTGAGTGCTTCCTCTCACCGTGTTGATATGCACCCAGCGCCTCTGACCCTATGAGCCAACAGCTCTTTTTTTTTTTACCTCCCCCCTCTGAACGAGCCCAAGACACTCAGGAAATAGCCTGGGAATTAGAGCAGCATACAGAGAGCCAATCAATACAGAGCCAATATGGTGTATAAAAAATCTCCAGTTTTGATGAGGTCTGCAGAGCAGGAAGGGGATGCTGCTGTTTGGTAGTCTCTCTCTACCTCTCTCTGTCTCTCTTTCTATACTGCTCTCTTTCTCTCTTTGTCTCTCTCTTTTCTCTTTTGTCACTTTTCACTTTTCTGTCTCTCTCACTTATTTCTCTTTCTCCTCTCCTCTCCCTCTCTCTCTCTTATTAACCACTTTTTGAGAGCCAAAATTTATGCCACTGTTTTTGCTGTTGAGTTATTGGCTTTGTTTGCCTCTCATGCACTGAGAAGCACATGGCATTTGTCTATACTCAAACTGTTTGTGCAGTGCAGTTGAGTTAACGAGGGTCAGAATATGAAATTTCAGGCTTTGTTTATTTATCACTTCCCAGGTTTGTTTGTCATACGTCATGCGAAGAAATAAATGAACAACAAATGTGATTCCGTCCCAAGAGGGGTGAGAAGTAAAGAGCGATTCATCTCATGCGTTTCAACTGAAACGGTGTTTCTGAAAAGTGTCCCTCTAGTGGATTCGTCCCTTAGGCTTGCACCAGCTATATTCTGCATGTACACTTAACAAAGGCTCTGTCCTTTGACCGTAGGGGTGTACTGTTAGACTCCTGTAGCCCTGCGGATCTCAAGGAGACAGACATTAGTTAATGCATTCCAGAGCCTCTCTCAATCACAGCACAGGCAGAGAGGCTGTCCTGTAGTCTTATCACTAATTGGGTGGATGAATTGTTCTCATAATGGGTCCCTGATGGGGTGATTTACAACCATAAAACCCAGTCACTATTTATCCTGACAATGACTCTAATTAAACATAGAGGACGTACAGAAAGCGAGGCGGATGGTGCCGAACAAAGATTATCTTTACCTCTGCTTGTGGAATCACACGCTGTCTCAGTGCAAAACTATATACAGCATGATGGAAAGTGATGGAAAAATAGGGCTTCTCTGCATATTTCATCTCATTTGTATCCTCCTTCTTTCCTTTGTTCTCTTTAGGTCTTTTTTATCAATTGTGTTTTTTACATTGATTTTTGCATAGATGACACACTGCAGTGCTTCTGTCCTTTCAGTTTGCGTGCAGCCCACACTGTGTGAATGGCTTTTCATTTTCTTTCTATGTACTGTTTTAAGTGTCACTTGATTATATTAGTAATTGAGTAACGCACCAATTACTTTGATGATTAATTGAGTAATCTTTGTTTTTTTTAAGAGTGTAGCCTTTCAAAGATTATGAAATTATTGATTAAAAAACAGAAACATTTTTAAAAACTATGTAAGACACTATGCAACAAAGATGCAGAGAAATGGGTCCATCAGGCTCTGTACCTGTACCAAATTTGTCAAGAAGGTAAACTTGACTTGGTAAGTTTAATCAAGCAATTCTTACAGCATTACTGTAGAGTAATTCAGTAAAATGGCTGGAGGTTTGAGCCTATAGTGCAAAGAGACTGTAACTTATCATTTAATTTCAGTAGGGTGTAACAAATTTTGCTTTTGTTTGAGACTGTCATTGAATTAAACATGAAAGTAGATACAGTAATGATTCTCTGACACACACTCTTTCTCTCTCTCATTAACAGCAATCCCAGGCATGATTGTTCCTCCCATGTAGTGGCTCCTGGGCTGCTGAAGAGGCGCATTTGACATCGGCTCATGCTCGAAACCCACAAGGTCTGGACCAAAGGTGTCTCCATGTGGGCAGAAAAAAAGAGATAAAACCCAGACTTTGAAAACTCAGGCCTTTTTCAACAGAATCTCACATGAAGGGAAATGCGTGGTGGTGGTTTGATTTTTCTAAATGAATTTTTAGACCTCCTCTGCTGAAGGACGAGTCCCCATGAACTACCTATGCGGAGAGAGTGACAGCCCTTTTCATTCTGGTCATGGGCTTTTTTGATGAAGTGGACATCATATGCCTTTTATACAGACTGTACCATAAACACATGACACTATGAGAGCAGTAACTGTAATGTTCCTGAAAGCTGGATGTTGCATAGCGGCGAGGGAAAATGGCAGAAAACTTTAGCAAAGCAGGTCAGCGTTAGTCCTACCGAATATTCATTTAAAGTTGTTTAAGACATTTATATATCCAAAACAAAAACCATATCAGCCAGCTGTGTAAACAGGTGTTTTCTGTATAAACAAGATGAGGATGGATTCCTAGCTCTGGCGCCAGTCACAAGCCAACAAATGAAGTTTGCCATAACTTTTGTTGCATTGTTTTAATTTGTATTGCCATAGTCTTCAGTAATGTTTTGTGTTAATTATTCAGGTACATGCTGGTTCAGTTATTTTGTCTTTAGAGACAGCAAAACTCTTATAAGGTAGCCATGAGCTGATTGTCAGTAGGTTCCTGGCCCACTGTGAAAGACTTGGACCCCACAAAAGAGAGAAGAGTGCTTAAAGAGTAGAATTTCAGCTGAATCAATATTTATGTGTGTACAAAATGATTTGCTGCTTGTCAGTGCCAGAATATGCAGTAAACAAAAAAAATGGAAAACACCACAAAGTACACTATGAGTTGCTCTGCCAATTTAGCTTTCAGTCTTGAAAATTAAGTGCATTTTTTAGATGTGCTGAAGGATAGTCATATGAGAATCATGCATCATGAAGCCATAAGAAGTTTGTTGTTCTCATATTTAAAAAGAAAAAAGGAAAAAAAAAAAACATTAGACTGTGATTATGACCTTTGCTCCAAGTGATCCTCAGTAAAGGATAAAATGAAGGGACACAGATGAAGAATATATGCTCAGTGGCGGCTGCTAGAAAAACCCCCTTTTAGTTCTTTTTATTTTGTTTTTCTTTTGGTGACCGTGAAGGAAATGACTTGAATAAACAGAGGATGCTGATATTTCGCCAGCACTGTATAGCCTGCTCTTCAATATGTGTCAAACACCCAGCAAATGAAAGTTTGATTGGCTCCCTTTAGTAGTCATATATTTTGTACATATGCTTCTTTTTTGCTTTTTTTGCTTTGTTTATCATTAGTTTGTTTTTGCCAAAATGGTTAAATATATTTATATTAAAATGTCTTAAGGCAGCTTGTCAGTTTAGTATCACCAGTGATCTGTACTGCATACTCAATCTTGCCAACTTTAGCAAAGGAAAAGCAACAACTTGGATTCTGGACATAAAGAATAGGTTCTGTAAAATATCCATATACATAATGTATTTATCTCTAGAGTTTGTACATTGCTTTTTTTTTCCTCCCCTCGTTTCATTTGATTGTGGAGGTTTCTATGTGGTTATGTGCCGTTTTATCAGCCACCGTTGTCCTCGTTGTTGAAATTGTATTTCATAGATTGTTTGTATTTACTTTTCATGTTTGCCATGCTTCCTTTTTTAAGTTCCATTCATTAAAAAGCCATTGTCTATTTTTGTATAATTTGTAAGTTAAAAGAATTTGTTTTCCTTTTTTGGAATTTTTTAATGTATGGCAAAAAAGTAGCATCTTATTCTGATAGCATTTAGTTATGTAGATTTTTAAATATATATATATATATGATGAATATATAAATCTATATCTTTTTTGTTTTTCTCTTTGAGGCTTACAAAAATTGATACTGTTGTTAAACTAATAATATGCATGGGCTATTCTCTTCTGAGAGTGTGTTGGAAACTAGAAGGGGGGATTTTTTTGGATGAAATATGAAAATACTTTCTTTCTCCTTCGTGTTTCTTTTTTTTTCCTTTTTTTCCCTCTTACATTTCTCTCTGCTTTTCATTTCTCAGTTATTTATGCCTGCTTGTATATCTGTATATTCTGTCTTTTTTCCTTTTCACTCGTACCAGTACCAGCAGTTTAGATGCCTTAACAATGCAAACCCATTCGCATACAATCACTTGTACAGTTATCATCACCACCGTTAGAAAATACCATCGATTTTCTCAAGGGACGGTTTTACGATGCAGAACAAAAGAAAAAAAGAACGAAAAAAAAAAGCACAAATTGGGCCGTTTTACCTAGATACTGTTTATAAGACCCAGCTCAGCAAAGCAGGGAAGGTTAAGCGAATATGTTTGTCTTTTTTGTATGTGTTTGGATTATGAAGGATAATGAGGAGCGTTTGCATTTGGAGGTGTGTGGAGAGAGTGTGTGATTCATATTTAATGTCTGTTGCAGCTGTGTGTTGCTAGGGGATGGGGGTGCACTTTATTATTAATTTAAAACAAAAGGCTGCCTTTTTAATTTTCTGTTTGTGCTCTATTAATGTGTGTTTGCGTCAAAGATCCATGAGGGTGGGGGGAAACCTAAAAAGCCATATTGTGCTAGTTCACTATCAGCTCAGAGAGTGACGTTCTGGTGGTCTGACGGTGCAGACGGTGGCACACTTTTGCGTGTACGTGTGTCTGTTTTTTTGTTTTTTGTGGTGCCATCATAGTGCTGCAATAAGTACTGCTGACTCTAACTGAGAGGTGTGTCAGAGCACAATGACCTGCCCTTAGCTCCGGGGGCCACCGGTTCTCTGGTTCTTGTGCTAACTCACTAACTGTGTTTGCTTCACTGCTAACTCTCTTTCTTCTGCTAGCCAGATTGCCCCCCTTGTAACAATATCGCCAACAGAGCCCCAAGTGATCAGGCTTCAAAGTGCAGGACCCTTTGTGAATGGTCTAAAGTGGGGTGTTTGTGTAGCGTAGTATCTGCAAGCTCCTGCCAGAGAGAGAATATGGCTTTTCATTTGCCGGTGTTGGGTTTGTTTTGTGTGTGTGATTCTGTGTGATTCTGAGTGAATGCTTGTGTGTGAGGACTTTTTAACAGAAGCCACTGATGACAGAGCCACAATTGGGCTCTTCTCTCATATTTTCACTCTTTTAGCGGGGCTTTTTTCCCCTTTCATATGAATTCTAAATATATGGCTGTTGTACAATGGCCTCTTTGTATGTGGATCCATCTTAATGATTAGGATGGGCAGCTGATAAAGCAACAAGCATTACTGTAGGAAGCAAGACTCAAACCAAAAAAGCTGGTCCTCTCCCTTTCTTTTCTTCTCTCTCTCTCTCTCTCTCTCTCTCTCTCTCTCTCTCTCTCTCTCTCACTCTCTCTCTCTCTCGTTCTGTCTCTTTCTCTTTTTGTTTGTCTTTGAATGGATACACACTGAGCAGTTCTATTGATAGGGAAAACCAAGACAAAAACTACTGTATAGATTGTTATCATTTTTTTGATGAAAGCTGTAAAATAACTTTTCAGAATTCACAATATTAAATTAAAGTTACTTCTTGTCTGTGATCTTGCACGTGTCCTTTTCTTCTTCATTTAGCTGGTGCTCTACGCAAAAAAAGGTATGAATTTACTTGATTCAAATGTGTTCATCATTTCTGCATGAATAAAACATACTACATCAATGCAATTGACTACATCAATTTTTCAGTTTACTTACTTTTGCCAATAACTGTATTGTAATATATTTTATTTATGTGGAATTGACACATATTTGAATTAAGTAAATTGAATGTATCACTTTTTTCAGTCTATCATGGATTGTCCAAATGGATTTCCGTGCTGTTCTGTTTCAAATATCATATCTAATCAAGCCTGATCCTGCTGTTCTCCTACTCCTGCCATGTCACTCAAGGGGAGTCTAAAGACTTTAGACAGGGTGCCCTACCCCTGAGCATGGTCAGGATCTCTAATACTTGAGCATAGTCGGGATCTCTAATACTTGAGCATGGTCAGGATCTCTAACACTTCAGCATGGTCAGGATCTCTAATACTTGAGCATGGTCAGGATCCCTAATACTTGAGCATGGTCAGGATCTCTAACACTTCAGCATGGTCAGGATCTCTAATACTTGAGCATAGTCAGGATCTCTAATACTTGAGCATAGTCGGGATCTCTAATACATGGTCAGGATCTCTAATATTTGAGCATAGTCAGGATCTCTAATACCTGAGCATAGTTGGGATCTCTAATACTTGAGCATGGTCAGGATCTCTAATACTTGAGCATGGTCAGGATTTCTAATACTTGAGCATGGTCAGGATCTTTAATACTTGAGCATAGTCGGGATCTCTAACACTTGAACATAGTCAGCATCCCTAACACTTGAGCATGGTCAGGATCTCTAACATTTCAGCATAGTCAGGATCTCTAATACTTGAGCATAGTCGGGATCTCTAATACTTGAGGAAAGTCAGAATTCCAGCATTTGAGCAGAGTCGGATCTCTAATACTTGACCATAATCAAGATATCTAACATGACTATGGTCAGAACTCCCAATTCTAGACCATAGTCAGGATATTTATTATTTGAGCATACTCAGGATCTTGACCATTGATCTTGACCATAAGCAGGAACTCCAGCACTACAGTACAAATGTAAGTCCATCTGGAACCCCTTTACTACTTCATCACCAATCAATATTGTCCCTAATCTCACAGAGGTTATCTCTCTGTGGGCGCTGCCCACTTCCTTATATCCCCCAGTCCTGTTCCCACTGATTCCCCCTTAAAGAAACATGCTTTAATTAGTCCTATTCATTAATGTATTATATACCTGATAGCATAATGAATGTGCTCTGAGAGTTGCCCAAACACGTTAATGATGGGCTCCCCAACTTATTAATTGAACGGCACATTGCATTTAATTGACTCATCATTTGCATTTACTGTCATCAGCAAAAAATTAATCTTTCTTTTTTTTCACTTTAGTTTGCATATTTAATTTAAGACCCTCTTGATCTGATTAGCTTGTAAAAGTCACTGGCAGGTTTCTGCTGAACTCCACCTCAGCGCCGGAGCTTCTGAGGGAGCTGCGAAAAAACGACCCTGAAACGGTAATGAAATGCAAGTTTGAATCATTAATATTATCAGCCAGTAAATCAAAGCGTAGCCTGTGGTTTCAGCAGTATGGGGCTGTTGTTTTTTGCAGGCCTGATCCAATAGCAAGCTGTTTGCTGGCGTGTACTGAACAAAGAAGAGACCACAAACAAAGGAGTAAACAAAAGCTAAAGGGGCAGGAAGAAGAAGGAAAAGATGAAAAAGAAGAAGAAGGAAAATCAGACCCTTTTTTCTTGATCCATAATCCAATATGTGTTGCTAAAATATTAGGGCTTATAGAAGAATAAGATACACCTACAAATTATTCATACAAAAATGTACCAACGGTGGTTTGTACAGGAGAGTAATTTGAAGGTAACTCCTCTCTGTACTGATGGGATTATTCTGCAGTAGTCTAGAAATTGGCTTCATGCAGCAAAGTTGGTGCTGCTTCATTACACCAGTGAAGAGAATAAAAAGGAGTGAAGTGCGGCCCTTTTATCTTCGGCTTAATCTGAGTTTTATTGTTCAAACAGCTGTTGTGTGGAGGAAGGAGGAAGAGCTTTAGATAGCCATTAGCTAATGGATTATTGAGAGAGACACGACTACCCCCCCCTTCCTTCACCTCCAGTACACACCCCTGCCGAGAGCCACTTAGCACACAAAGCCTGCTTTGAACATTATAGATCCCAAATGCAGTATCAAGCTTTCCTTCTGTTCTCTTTCTCTCTCTCTCTCTCTCTCTGTCTGTCTCTCTCTCTGTATCTGGAGGCTAATGTAAATGAATGATTGATAGATGACATGGATGACAGTTTGAGCAGAGTTGAGAGTAGACGTCAGCCTGCTCGTCATTGTTGACGTTCAGAGACAGAATCTCTATAGAGCAGTTTGACCTCTCTTGGCATTAATGGCGCTGTTGATTACTTTTATACAGCACTTATAAGGCTGACATCACAGTGATTTAGTACTGAACTAGCTTTAGAATGAACTGCATATGTAACGCAGACGCCAGACATTTAGCACTACTTTATTTACATGAGAGTCTGTAACTGTCCTGCCCTTGCAAGGATATAACCATGTCCTTCTCTCTTTTTTCCTGAAAAAGTTTTTGGTAACATCTTTTTGCTCCAGTTTGCATCCGTATGAATGGAATTCTGTATTTCAGCTTAGACTGCAAGCCTTTAACTCAAAATGTGTGTATTTGAAGGTTGTAAAATGTTCTTACATGATTCTTTTGAATTCATGCATACTGTGCATAAAACAGCAGCACATTTTTTGTGTGATTATTTTAAGACAATTTGTGCCATGCTATAAAACATAGTGTATTTCTGATACATAGTGTGTAATTCAAACAAATTTTTGAGCTTACTGCCTGAAAAAAATAATGCACTGATTATATTTAAAGAAATCCAAAATGTGACAATGCACAGCCATTTGTGGCTGGGAGTCTAAGACCCTATCCTATTTCAACCCTTGCCCTTAGCCCATCATTTTGCATGTTCACGTCTAGGGGGTAGGGTGTCCCAATTTTTGTTGATAAAGAAGGGTAGGACAAAGTGTTAGGGCTACATGGCCCTCCAAGCGGACGTTTTTCAGAGGCACACTCTTTCAACCACTACCTCTTGTAACTCAGTTTGAAGGGGCAAGGTAACACTCGATGGGATTAGGCCTCAGAAAGTACAGATAGTTCTTTTTCTCCTTCAACACTCAATACTACAACACTCAGTACTAGTCAATATATGTGTCTGTTAACTCACATGTACAGAGTTAGGCAGTTAGCATTTTCTTCCAAGCATATTCAGCTGTCAATGAACTGAACCACAAGATGCAGTGGTTGTCTTCATGTGACTCGGAGGAAACACATGCTAACCCACAACCAGTCCTCAACCTCCCACACTCTAAAAAGTGCTGGATTCAAAACAACCCAATTTGGGTTGTTTTCAACCACACAGCTGGGTCACTACTGGACAGAACACATGCTGGCTTAATCTAACACAGCAAGATGGGTTGGTCATATAACCTGGCAAACTGGTTTGACCATTCAACGCATATTCTGGTTTATATTGACTAGAATGTTGGGTTAATTTATGGGTTAATTTAATTATCATAATGCTGACTTACAGTAATTCCTTTGAAAATATAATTAAAAAAACTTTTCATGTTAACACTTTGGAGCAGGCAGTAGCCCATTTAATGGTCACTGTTCCACTTTACCATTGCTCACTGAACCCCTTGGAATATCACCACAGCAAACAGTTTTGATAAGACATAGTGCCAAATGCCTGACTTCTTGCTACATCATCGTTTATTCTAAAACCTGAATTCTGGCTTTTTCATTAAGGTTTTTATGCACATTTTTTAAAATTCTTAAAGAAGAGAAGGATGGAGACCCATAATTAACAGCAACTTCCACCTGCTGAGGGCACGTGAAGCTAATCCTAGAAGCTAATATTGTGTAAAAAAAAATAGTTTTATGGTGTACTTAGAGATGGGTAATCAAGGTTCATAAAAATAAAAACCCTCCCCAGGACTGTGCCGCAACTGCTTAAACACCTTTTCTGCCGGTTTGAACAAATTACAGAAGCCAGGCTGTTGGAACAAATGCCTGGGGAGGATTTTCACTTTATGGACCTCTAGGTATTACCTGGTTTGATTTAATATTATGTAAATTTAACATAATACAAACTTCTCTATATTAACAGATTATCCACTTTTGCATATTTTTATTTCATCAGCAACAATTTGGAGAAATAACAATATTAGGGCAAAAACTTGCATGATGACATGGCTCACTAGCTAAGCCAGCACTAATGAGGCAAACAAATGACTGTTGTTACTTAAAAGTTGCAGGTAAACCTTTTTACATCAGGCCCTTTGCTGCTGCATGTTACGTTTTGCTTTCTTGTGGCGAAGAAGAGGGAAAACAACAAAACAAAGCATTTTTTCTTGCGCAGGTGAATCAGCAGCTGGTTTATGTGAACCAGTGGCTGCGTAGCTACTCCCAGTGGTAGAAAAAGGGAACACTGGGCATGGTCTTATCTGCATTGTCTCCACTGTCACTGAGATTGGCCCAGTAGCTGCAACACAAAAAATGACCACATAGGCACAACCCAGTGTTTAGCGAGAAAAAAATAACCCAGCAGACTGGTAGCATTGTGTGATGGGTGAGATCTAGCCAGAGGGTGGACGTGGCAACAGCTAAACTGGGTAGAAAATTATGGAGAAAAAAAGTAGCACAAAATGCATTGTCCTGGGCTGGAAAGATAGAAATACAAAAATAACGCATGCATGTTGTTTTTACCACATCTGTTTTTATGAGTGTATTTGAAGCTGTGAGGCAAGATGCCCAGGGAGTGTTCAGGTGCTGCAAAACTAAATAGAGTCAAAGATGCTCTCTCCTAACCCTAACCTTGACTATTTGCCATTTTTTGTACCACTCTGATTCTGGTACTTGTACCACTTTGAA